TGGCAGTATTTGTGTTTTATGTATGGCTCTTTGTGTGTGTGTTTTGTTGTTTTTTTTTTCTTTTAACATAGTTCATAGGGTATTACTATAGAATTTTCTTTTGTCCTTCGTTTGTTTTCTTTACCTTACACTTTCAGAGTAAGGAATGCTTCAAAAAGAAAAACTGAAGTCATAAAAGCTTTATATCCAGGCAAAAAATCATTTTATAGGTGTTTCCTTGCTGAACTTGTTCTGAGGCTTCTTGTGTGGCTGACGTGTGTGCATGCCTAAATTTCTCCTCTAGTTTTCTCCACTCCCCTCTTTTTTCTCCTCCCCTTTTCTCCCCCACCCAGAGATGCTCTCTGCATGCCAAGCTTGCAGCAGTTTAGGGGCAAGTCCAAGTGTCCGGCTGTGCTGCGTGCAGGACATCAGGAAGTCTGCAGAGGTTTGGAAAAAAGTTTCAATTAGTTTTTCATTGTGCCATATAAGTACTGTAATGTGTACTGGGTGTTGAAATTAAAGTTGCTCTGAATGGAATTCCATTTCATTTTAGCAGGACAACAGCAACAACACAAAAAGCATGACTTTGATCATAAAGTTAGGAGGAAGAAAGAAGTAATTCTCTCTGCATAATAAACTTGAACCTACTATATCTGAATGATTTGTAGCCATTGTGGAATACATTGACTTACTTATTTATTTTTCTGCACAAGGAAGCTGTGCTGCATTTTGTGTGGTTTACTGGGGGAAATATTTTCTGATGATTGTTTGAAGAACTTCCCTGGCTCTGTAGTTTCTGTACTCTTCAAATGCAGACTAATTTGAGATGCACTATTTTTAGATGTAATTAATCATGCTTCTTTTAAAAGCAAAACTCGTCGTCTTTGATGAAAAGTTGAGAGCGAAAGAGCATCGTAGTTACAGTAATATGCCATTGTAGCATATTCCCATCCCATCATCTGGCAAATTAAATCAGGTTACAGCATGGATTGACATCCGGGATGTTGAGGAGGGGAAGGTAGAGTCTTAAATGCCATGAAATTGAACAGTCAGGAAATTCTTATACTCCAATTAGCTGTGGACTGTATGTTCTGTACCTGGCTTTTCATTGAATGTGACTCTGTAGGGTAAGGCTGTTATAATTTCAGAACTTTGAAACATGGTGAACTCAGTGTGTTCATGTAGTGTGGAGCCATGGGTTTGGTCTGTCCCTTCACCAATGTTCCGTTCCATAGCTGGCCAAACTGTACCAAGCTGAAAGGCTGCTGTGACACTTGTAGAAAAATTGTACTCTTCTGTCACAGGAAACCAGCGTTGTCTTTTCTCTCTCATTTTCAAAATGAAAAGTGTATTCAGTGAGAGAAATTTCACACGCTGTTAATGTGGGATGTGACTCAGCTGTCCTGTTGGTAGTTTCCCTAAGAACTGCTTCTTAAAAACAGCAACAGAGGAAGCAGCTTCAAAAATAACCACGTGGTTTGTTTTGTTTGTGTGTTGTTTTGTTTTTGTGTTTTTTAACTGTTTCTCCCTAAAAGAGAGCATCTGTTGTGGGTAATACAGAACAGTGGATCTGTAGGTTTTGGCCAAGCTGCATTTTATGGGCAGGAGCTGCTTTGCATGGAGCTGTATCCTCTGGGAAGAGAGTTTGCAATGATGTTCGTGAGGTTGGTAAGTGAACCTGCTCTGACTTCCACGAAGTCACTCAGGAAACATAGGGAAGTTCACGACACTGGATTAAATCTCCTTAACATGAGTATAAACATTAGCAGTAAAATGAATTTGACTTTTCTTAGTGCAGTTTTATTCTGAGATCTGTCCCTTTATCTTTCATTGCACTTGTACCCATACAGGAGGGGAGGCTGCAAATAAAACAGTGTGTTTTAGTTTCCTTTTGGAATAGTATATACATTGTGCTTTACATTTGTTACAGCCTAGGAATTTCCAGTGCAGTATTTCAACATGCTGTTAATACTCATATTTTGTCAGCAGTTGCTAATGGCAGAAATACAAGTCTTGTCATCTTTTGTGAGCTGAAACTTACAAAATCAGACGTGATAAACATAAATGTGAGATAACTGCTACCATCACTGCAGAAGTTCAACCTGTGGCACAATTTGAAGTTTATCTTGTGAACCAGTTCCATAATTCGTATGACGTTTTTCTTGACGTGAGCTTTTACTTTGTCTGTTCACTGGTTTGCAGTGTGTCCTTCTGCTGACCTGAGCTTTTAATGCTTTGTAACTGTGGATGACTGGTGCAATGGAAGTCTTCAAGCTCTTTACTTCATTGACTATGGAAGATGTTGGTTAGAAGGATTTCAGACTGTCTGTTCCTCCGATGTTTGCAAATGGATTAGACTTCTCTGAGCTTGGGAGAAGTTTCTTACATGTGTTTACTTCTAACCTCTAATAAGTGCTCAATGTGAAGGATTTTTTATTGTCTGGAGATGGAGGAGCTACACCTCCTCCGTTCAGTCTGCATACAGCGTGCGAGGCAAATTAGCGTTAGTCCGAGTGTTAAAGGATTTTAAGTTAGTTTAGGCTGATGGGCAAAGTTGGCAGTCAGTTAGGAAATATTTGGTTAAAACATGGGCATGTGAGTGCTGAGATGTATTTTGCTGATGCTCGTGGTGGTTATTGAAGTAGAATGCTGAACTCCTGTTTGAGCTGCCTTTCTGTGTTCTTCAGTTTGTATGCTGGTTCTCCCCGGTTTTGAAGAATTTGGAGATTGTGGCTGTTGTGATTTAGAGCAGGTATAGATAATGAGGTAGCTTGTGCTTTTTTTTTCCTCAATGGAGAGAGCCAACCATACTGAGTCGTGTTTGTTTTATAGGTCTTTCATGTTGTAAAGACAGTGTCTGTCTGAGTTTATTGTGTATCTAAGCAGGGTTGAAAACACCTCTTAAAGAAAGATTGTATCAGCAGTGAAGAATAGAGAAAGCTAAGAAAGCTGTAACAATGTGTGACATGTTCTCTTTCCATTGTATAGTGTTTTCCAAATAAAGATACTGAAAGTTTAGTAAACATTCCCAGACCATTTAAAAGCTGAAATGACTGAGCGGATGCAGTATAAAATATACAGTACTTGTAAAAACGTGCTGACGTGCAAGCATGTGGTAGCCAGGTGTAAATTAAAGGTGACTTTCTCAACCGTAGGGTTCCAGATGATGTGGACTGGTTGTTTGGATGCTGCTGTGAGACGTATCATCAGAAGCAGACTGTATCCAAACCATATATCCCAGTGTCTTAACTAACCGAGGTTATCAGCAGTGATTCCACCAAGCACTTTGTGCATCTGAGTTTGTATTTCTGTTTTTTCCACTGAAATTTGTGGGTGAGAAATTAAGTTAAATTTCATGCATCATGGATTTAATTAATTTCTTCTAATATATGCAGTTGATTGACATGGAAAGCTTTTATTTATATTGAAAACGCGTAGCTTGTCATGTATTGTTGCAGTGTTCTCAATACATGCTCTCAATGTTTATGTAAGTAGATCATTCCATCTTACCAACAAGTCCTTGCTTTGCCGAAATGTAGAATGTGTTGTGCTGTAAATTGTTACTTGAAAGACTTGTGTGCAAGGGGCTGCTGTGCGAGTTCAGCTGCGTTCATGTTTGTGCGCTTGGCACAATGCATTTTACCTGTGCAGAGAGGAAAGAATTTTCAGGCTAAGGCTTTAAAAGGCAATTTCTTGCTTTGCAGTTTGTTAATGTAGGGGGATTTGCTCATATACATATGTGAAATTCAGCATATCATGTATGTAATTGTATGTGTTAAAGCTAAGCACCTGAATATCTGAAAAATTAAGCTACAAAGTTGACTATCATTGTACAATCTTGCTGTGATGCTGACTTGATTGCAGTTAGCAAAGGTTTGCACCTGCCAGCAATTGAGTTGCCCAGCTCAACTAAAATAAACTTTGTCATTGAAAATCTAGTGTGGTACGACTCTGAAACAGCAGTGGAAGGTGTATGTGTCACAAAATGAGTCACTGCCCCCCCCAGGAGCCGTAGATACAATGTGGTGTGACAGTAATTGAACAGTAGAGATTGTGTATGCAACATCCCTCCTACGTAACGTTTCTGGAAACATTGTATAAAGAGTGAAGAATCTGGTGGGCATAGCCCTGTGCTGAGCTGCAGCTACCCAAAGCAATGGAATTTGTGCAAGTGGTAGAAACTGCATAGTGTGCTGCTTGATTTTTCTCTGCATTACGTGCATTATGCTTCTTATTCTGAACTGTTGTGTGATCTTTGTATGGTTTGTTGTTGTTGTTGTTTTTAATAATTAAAAAATTCCTTTGTAGTAAGGACTCTGGCCTTCTCAGCCATATTCCTTTGAAAAATGACTGGCTTTGAAGAGTGCTCTTTTAAATAGGTTGTCATATAAATAATTTCAATCATGGTATTTTGTGGTTTTATGAACATCTCTATGTTAAATTTAACTTAACTTCTCAGGATATTACCATGATGCTTTTTCTGACAATCCAAAGGAATAAGGACATTGCATCGGTCTGAGTGCATCTGATGTTTGTTAACCTGGTGGTTCAGGGCTGTATTAGTTAGCTCTTTCAAATTCCAGATGTATATATACACATTTTTTCCTGAGTGTAGCTTTTCCTAGAAACACTAACTTGAAGCAATTTTTTACTTCTGTTGGAAACGTAGTGCACAAGGTAACAGACTAAAATTCAGTGTAGCACCAAGATGTCTTATAAAGTCAGTAATATATAAATTGACTTGTAACCATACATTTGTATGTGTGTGTATGGTCACAGATTTTGATGACTTTGTGCATTTTGTGTGTGTATGTTCTATATACACTTTGTGTCTTTCTGGAGGAGGGTAAAGGAAGAGCCTTGAAAAGTCCTTCCCTGCACTTATCAACATAGCAGCCTCAGCTGCCCTTCTTGGATCCCCTGCCAGGGTTGCTATCATCTTCTGATCAAATATTAATGTGTGATTCTCTGCTTGCTCACTAATCCAAAGCCAATTAATATTATCTGTCAATTATTTACAGATCCTGAGGTGCGGAGGCAATTCCCAGAGGACTACAGTGACCAG